GCTCTATTTGGAAAGGATTCTCAAAATTCTACAGTAAATTAATTCTCATTTTCAACCATACATTCTTCAATAAAATAATATTTTCCATCACATCAATAATTTTTTCTTCTTTTTCAACCACACATTTACCATCATATTACTATTCAAAATCAATTCTTCCCCCAAAAATTCCTCACAAACAAGCACTTCATAGGCTTCTACCGATTACTGCAGTTGTACATCGACACCACAATTAGTCAGACGAATCCTATAACCTACTCGAGCCATTCAAAGTAGCCTAATTAAGTTAGTGTTGCTCATGGCCCGACCCAAAGACTTTGGATGGCTTTGTCGGTTTGATAGCCCACTTACATATTTCCTATTGGGCCCTATCTTTTCTAACCTAAAGCCCATGCCTAATTTCCTTTATATTTACCGCCCCATTACTGTTGATGTTTGAGTGAGAGAATAGGCATTCGTGTGTTTAGAGAAAGTTGTGCTCCCTTGCTTGGCTTTGTGCTTCTAGCTTTGCTTCGTGCTCACTGTGCTTGCTTTCATCTTCTACCTTAGTCTTTGTGGCTATGTTTGAGCTCCCATTATCTATCACATTCCGCCCTTTGTGGGCAGCAGCGATAGCAACCAGTTAGGGGAGTTGGTTTGTGGTTTTGGTCGATTGATTATGGTGTCGATTGGTGAGACTGAGCTCGATTCTTGGAGTCAATAATTAACATTTGGTATCAGAGCGAGGTTTGGTGGTGGATTTCGGCCAGAAAACTCCCAGAAACGCAAAGAATTTTGGCATAAACTGAAGCAGAGAAGTTGTCCAATTTTTTCCCAAAAACCGCACCTGCAATCGACATTTACGGCCAAACCAGTGATCTGTTGGAAAATCCAAGACCACCAGCGTGTTCAGCAGGTCGAAGAGCTGGCGGGTGACCAGAGCGTGAGGTCGGTGGTGACACATGGCGGCGCGTGCATCATTTCCAGGCGAAACTCTCTTCAAGCAGTTTATTTGTTTTAATTTCCTGAACGTACTGATATTTTTATTTTCGTGTTTCAGGTTACACGGGAAAAGTTGGATGATTTTGCCCTTGCGTTTGTAATTCAATTTTCTCTCGGTTGGTTGCTGTGGTTGTTGAAAACTTTAGGGCGAATAGTGGTGGCCCTAAAATGTTAAAATTATATTCCTCGAAATTTACGGACTCAGATAAGTCCGCTCTGGTAAATTGGCTTATCCCTTTTAAATTTCAGCACTAGTGCGTCATCATGTGGGGTGACATTAGGATTTAGGTGAAGGGGTAACCATTGCTTGTGCTAGAAATTCAGGAATTAATTGCTTTATTTGAAATGTTGAATTTTGACTGCAAGTTGGTAGTTGTTTTTGTGCTGTAACTGTTGTTATGTCTCTGTGTGAGATTGTTTTACGTGAAAATTTGAATTGTGTTGACAAACCTTCGTGTTGCTTTGATTATTACTTCAGAACATTCATT